CATCTCATTAGAACTGATTCAATGAATTCTTTTTAATGGCTGAGTAATATTCCATGGTGTATATGTGCCACAGCTTCCTCATCCATTCGTCTGCTGATGGGCATCTAGGTTGCTTCCATTTCCTGGCTATTATAAACAGTGCTGCGATGAACATTTGGGTACACGTGTCTCTTTCAGATCTGGTTTCCTCGGTGTGTATGCCCAGAAGTGGGATTGCTGGGTCATATGGCAGTTCTATTTCCAGCTTTTTAAGAAATCTCCACACTGTTTTCCATAGTGGCTGTACTAATTTGCATTCCCACCAACAGTGTAAGAGGGTTCCCTTTTCTCCACACCCTCTCCAGCATTTATTGCTTGTAGACTTTTGGATAGCAGCCATCCTGACTGGTGTGTAATGGTACCTCATTGTGGTTTTGATTTGCATTTCTCTGATAATGAGTGATGTTGAGCATCTTTTCATGTGTTTGTTAGATATCTGTATGTCTTCCTTGGAGAAATGTCTGTTCAGTTCTTTGGCCCATTTTTTGATTGGGTCATTTATTTTTCTGGAGTTGAGCTGGAGGTGTTGCTTGTATATTTTTGAGATTAATCCTTTGTCTGTTGCTTCGTTTGCTATTATTTTCTCCCAATCTGAGGGCTGTCTTTTCACCTTGCTTATAGTTTCCTTTGTTGTGCAAAAGCTTTTAAGTTTCATTAGGTCCCATTTGTTTATTTTTGCTTTTATTTCTAAAATTCTAGGATGTGGGTCATAGAGGATCCTGCTGTGATTTATGTCGGAGAGTGTTTTGCCTATGTTCTCTAGGAGTTTTATAGTTTCTGGTCTTACATTTAGATCTTTAATCCATCTTGAGTTTATTTTTGTGTATGGTGTTAGAAAGACCATTACAATATACTAACACATATATATGGAATTTAGAAAGATGGTAACGATAACCCTATATGCAAAACAGAAAAAGAGACTCCTATGTATAGAACAGACTTGTGGACTCTGGGAGAAGGCGAGGGTGGGATGTTTCAAGAGAACAGCATTGAAACACGTATATTATCTAGGGTGAAGCAGTTCACCAGCCCAGGTTAGGAACATGAGACAAGTGCTCGGGCCTGGTGCACTGGGAAGACCCAGAGGGATTGGGTGGAGAGGGAGGTGGGGGGGGGGGGACCAGGATGGGGAATACATGTTAAAAAAAAAAAAAAAAGATACACTATGGTTGTGATAAAAAAAATAAAAAAATAAAAATAATAAAAATAATAATAATAAATATATGTGTATTATATGTATATATTTCACAGTATATAACACATATAATATATATGTTATAAAGGTTTAGGTAGAACAACAAAGGCAGAATATGAACAGTATATATGTCTATTTACACACTTATGGGTGTCCTCTAAATTCATTTTTCTACTCCGTTTTTCAATTTCCATACTGGTTTGCCTCGAGTGTATATTTACAATTAGAAAATATTAATAATGCTCTTTCAAAGCAGGGTAACCCAGACATTAACTTAGCATATGCCCAAGTGTTGCTTCAAGTTCCTCCCTCTTTCTCCAAAGCCCTGTTTCTTCACAATTTCTCCATCATACCTTAGATTCCAGTCATATGCAAGGCATGTATAGCCAGTTCTCTTGGGTCTCGGTGCCTTGGCACGTTCTCCCTCACTGTCTGGGAAACATTTTCACAGCTTTCCACTTGATCTATCTACTTTAGCTGGCTCAGGATTCATCTCGGGTGTCTTTACTGAAAAGTACTCCTCTCCCACCTCCTTGCCATCAGACTATGACAAATGTCTCTCCCTTTTACAACCACAGCCCAGTGTGGTTTGTGTCCGGTGAATCAATTCATCATGTAAATGGAAAGATAAGTTTACCATTACATTCCTCTTTTTCCTGCCCTGTTCTCTCTCATCAGCAGCTCATCACTTTTTAGTCTCATCCTCACTCACATGTTCCCACTTGCAACAGCCTCGTTGTTTTCTTGGAAGGACATAAATAAAGACTTTTGGGAGCTTTTGCCCTGGCCTTTTCACCTCCCCAGTCTTCATGGCCCAAGATAGCCACAGTCACTCCCTCTTTTCTTTAATTTCTTTGCTTAAATGTCCTGCATTCATAAGGCCTTCCATCATTATCCTCTGGGAAGGAAAGACTCCCCATTTGTCATAACGCATAAGGTTCTCGCTATACTCTATAATTGACTATTTGTGGTTAGGATGAACCTTCCATCCTCACTGACCAGAATGTAAGCCCCATGAAACCAGGATCCTGGGTATTGGCTCCTGATGTGTGACTTGCACTCACAACGATGCCTGAAATAATACAGGGAGTGAATTAATACCTGTGAAGTGGGAAATAAGCATAACACCAAAGAATTTATGTCCATTTTTGCAATTAAATAAAACAAATCCAGACTAATGTAAGAAGGAGCTTGATTTGAAATGACTATGGGGATAGGGTCATCTCAGACACTACCTAAAATACGCTGAGCATTCCTCAAGCTAGGCTTCAACAATACATGAACCAAGAATCTCCAGATGTTCAAGCTTGAATAAGAAAAGGCAGAGGAACAAGACATCAAATGGACAGCATCTGTTGGATCATAGAAAAAGCAAGACAATTCCAGAAAAACATCTGCTTCACTGACTAGGCTCAAGCATTGTCTTGTGTGGATCAGAACAAATTGTGGGAAATCCTTCAAGAGATGGGAATACCTGGCCCTCTTACCTGCCTCCTGAGAACTCTGAATGCAGGGAAAGCAGCATGAGTTAAAACCGGACATGAAACATCAGACTGGTTCCAAATTGGGAAAGGGGCATGTTAAGGCTGTATGTTGTCATCCTGCTTATTTAACTTCTATGCAGAGTACATCATGAGAAATGCAAGACTGGATGAAGCACAAGCTGAAAGATTGCCGCGAGAATAATCAATCACCTGAGATATGCAGGCGACACCACCCTGAAGGCAGACAGCAAAGAGGAACAAAAGAGTGCTACAGCATGTAGTCCCCAGGCTATTCCCTGGACCCTCCAGCTCCCCCACTGGCCCAAGTCGGCATGAGCTCCAGGGCCTCCGGAAGAAGGCCTGACTCTGCCTCTTGCCTCAGTCTCCCCGTGAGTGCCACCACACCACCCTTGACTTCATTGCTTCCCCAAGGTCCCTCACTGACAGTAACCTGCGGGCATTGCCCACTACAGTGCTGCCCAATAGCGAAGCAGGACAGCTAACAGTCACTCATTTACAATTTTTGGCTGTAGATGGGGCCCTCTGAGGCACCAAGCAATGGTTGAGCAACACCTGTTGCCTAGGAACAGGGTGGGTTGAAATGGAGCACATCAAAGTCTACCTCTTCAGGGCTGTGCTCATCCTGCTCTGTTACACTGTAAATAGAAAAAGAATCACTGAGAGGTTAAGGTTTCTCAAAGTAGTTTTCAACGTTGGCTGGCCTGCACATTCTTGTTGGTTTTGAATTATGTATACTATATGCTGAACATGTGATCAAGTGGCATCTGTTGGAGGGGCATACAGATAAGCGCTGGTGACAGGAATGCCTGGGAAGAGAACGGAAAGAATGATGGGCAAAAGTTAAATAAGCATGTGAAATAAAAATCTGAGGTTGGGAAGGACTCAGTCAAAAAGATGCCAGCACACTGGACCCAAAGTGTTCCTGGGCAGAGCCCTGCCCAGGTAGCCATTGCTGTGCCTTATTACTCCGCCTCCAGTTACTAGGCAACAGGACTTGCTCAGCCATTGGTCAGTGCCTCATTGGCCCCACCCACAAGCAACCAACTATCAACGAGCTACCTACAGGGACTTGCCCTGCCCAGCTAATGGTCAGCACTGCAATGGGCCCTAACTACTGAGAACGGTCAAGAAGGGGTGACTGGGGAATTGATTCAGTCAAGAGTCAGCGATGTAGTGGTGAACTGATTCTTGACTTTGAGCACCTTCCTTTTGTAAAAAGCAAAAGTCAGGAATTTTTTTCTGATAGATGGGGCACGTTGAGTTTCCCTACTCAATATGAGAGTTGAAGTGTCCCCAAAAAATTTAGTGGAGGAGACATTTAAAACTGTCTTTGCTCTGATGTGTACTCTTATGGAGACTGTATATTGACCTTTGGGCAACAGACTGAGGATTCACCAAGTCTGGGGGTCGCTGAAGCTCACCACAGTAGATAAAACATCCAACCTGCTCTTCCTTACCTTTGTCCCCTTTAAGTGCTTTCTCTTAAGTTCCTTAAGCCCCTCAGGAATCCCCAAGAGGCAGAAGGTGATCTAGAGATGAAGTGCTTAGAGGACTCTGAAGGGATGAAGTGGGACAGAAAAGGTTAGGCAGATGTTCCTAGAGGGATGAAAGAGGCATGAGGGTTGAAGTGGCACATATAAGTCAAAGGATAAATGGAACGCAAAGGAAGTTTGAAGGTCATGAGGAGAAGCACCAGGCCCCTGAATCACCACTCCCCAGAATCAGGCACACAGACATGTCAGCAGTGGGAAAGTTATATCACGGTCTCCCTCAGCATCCACTAGCCCATGTTGATGGTCACAGTGGTGCATTGTGATGTCTAAGCCCCACAAGCTACTATTGGCTGGGGCCGTGCCTAACGGACCAAGCAGATTGAAGGGTGTGGCTCTTCATTGTCCTCAAAGGGTATAAATAGGGAGGTCAGAGACTGAAAGCCTGGGTTAGGCCACTTCTTGGCACCATCATGACTAAGGCAACCAGGAAGCCACGGCCGTCAAGAAGAGTTGCAATGCGGTTTGCTTCAAGGAAGAATGGAATGAAGAAGACCCTTTGTCAAAGGAGGGGCAGACGTGGTGTGGAGGTAAGAGGACTCCAACTAAGCTTCCCATGTTCTGCATTGACTTTGGTGCCCAAGACCTCTACCCTGCCCATGCCTGGCACAAATGTCCCCCTTAGCTCACATTTCTTTCTCATGAAATCTCCCTTCCACCTCAGTTTTTATGTCCTTTCCTCCAAACTGATACCCTTGTCTTGTCTTCCAGGCACGAAATATGACCATGAGGGTCAGAAGACCTCTACAAGGGACCTTCAGAAAGAAAATCCGATCGTATGCCACTCAATCGACGAAGCCAAAGAAAACAAGAAAAGCAAACCGTTTCTTCTCTGGCTGTGGACGTAAGAAATCAAATCGAAGCCGAAAAAGGTACCAAAATATGAGGCAAAGTCATGGAAGGAGGCAGAATCCAAAGAGATAATAAGCTCAGCCGCCCCAAAATAAGAGACCCTGGAGAAGTACAACGTTGGCAGCCAGTTAATGAATAGCAAAGTTCAGACAGTTTAGAATTGTGCCTCCAGGGGTCTGCTTTGTTAGCAATGGCGAACCAAAAAAGACTCTCACACTAACGTAGTAAGCTGATGGCTGCAAATAAAAGAAATCTCAAATGGTGAAAAGATGATATGTGTGTGTGTGTGTGAATTTTCTGATTTAAGGGAGGGAAAGAAGAGAAGAGTTGGGCACGGGAAACGGGAGGGATATGTGGTCCTGAGAGGTTGGGGAACAGACCCACGGGTCCCCAGTTAGCCAGAGAGTATAGGTGTGGAGTGGGTTAGGAGTCTGCACTGATGATGGATAAATAAAGTCTTTTGTGAGTCCAACTTCTAGAAGTTTATCATGGTTTAAAAGAAAGAGAATGCAATATCAAATTTGGTGTTAACATTCCGGTTGAAATATTTTAAAAATTTCAAAGAGAATTTAAAAAAATATGGAGATATATAAGGCAGAGGTTCTGATGATGAGAATCGTGTGTGTCTTCAGGAAACAATTTAGAAGCAACCAGAACACAGTTTCACTATCAGCATCGAAAGTGTTGTGTTCCAATTGGAACTCAATGATATGCCATCTTTGATCTGGACTGCAGCTGCCTGATTCATATTTTCTGGCACTCTAATGCCTGGGTGACCCCACTGATGATTCAAAGTCAGTCACTGAATGTGATTTAAGATTTATGAGTGAAAGACCCCTGGGTGTGCTGCCTGTTTTTCTTTTTTGTAAGTTCTTTCATTTTAATTGATTTATTTCATTTGGAGGCTAAATACTTTACAATATTATAGTGGTTTTGCCATATATTGTCATGAACGAGCCATGGATGTACATGTGTTCCCCATCCTGAACCCCCTTCCCGCCTCCCTCCCCATCCCATCCCTCAGGATCGTCCCACCACAAGAGCCCAGAGCACCCTGCCTCATGCATCCAAGCTCTAGTGGAAATCTGTTTCACATACCTGTTTCAATGCTATTTGCTCAAATCATCCCACTCTCACCTTCTTTCACAGAGTCCAAGAGTCTGTTTTTACCTTTGTGTCTCTCTTGCTGTCCCACATATAGGGTCATTGTTACCATTTTTCTAAATTCCATTTATATGCATTAATATACTGGATTGGTGTTTTTCTTTCTAACTTCCTTCAGTCTAAAATAGGCCCCAGCTTCATCCACCTCATTTGAACTGATGCAAATGCATTCTTTTTAATAGCTGAGTAGTGTTCCACTGTGCATATGAAGCATGGCTGCTTATCCATTCGTCTGCCCATGGAGATCTAGGTTGCTTCCATGTCCTGGCTAGTATAAACAGTACTGTGATGAATATTGGGGTACACGTGTCTCTTTCAATTCTGGTTTCCTTAGTGTGTATGCCCAGCAGCGGGATTCCTGGGTGGTATGGAAGTTCCATTTCCAATTTCTGAGGAATCTCCACACTGTTCCTCTCCAGCATTATTCTTTGTAGACTTTTTGATAGGAGCCCTTCTGACCAATGTGAGATGGTCCCTCATCGTGCATTTGGTTTGCCTTTATCTGATAATGAGTGATTTTGAGCATCTTTTCATGTGTTTGTTAGCCATATGGATGTCTTATTTGGAGAAGTGTCTGTTTAGTTCTTTGGCCCGTTTTTTGAATGGATCATTTATTTTTCTGGAATTGAGCTTCAGGGGGTGCTTGCATAATTTTGAGATCAATTCATTGTCCATTGCTTCATTTGCTATGAGTTTCTCCCATTCTGAAGCCTGACTTTTCATCTTGCTTATACTTTCTTTGTTGTGCAAAAGCTTTTAAGTTAAATTAGGTCCTATTCACTTATTTTTTGCTTTTATTTCCATTCCTCTGGGAGGTGGGTCCTTGAGGACCGTGCTGCGATTTATGTCAAAGAGTGTGTTGCCTATGTTTTCCTCTAGGAGTTTTATAGTTTCTGGTATTACATTTAGATCTTTAATGCGTTTTGAATTTATTCTTGTACATGGGGTAAGAAAGTCTTCTAGTCTCATTCTTTCCAAGTAGCTGACCAGTTTTCTCAGTACCACTTGTCAAAGAGATTGTCTTTTCTCCATTGTATATTCTTGCCTCCTTCGTCAAAGACAAGGTGTCCGTAGGTGGGTGGATTTATCTCTGGGTTTCCATTTTGATCCTGACCTGTATTTTTGTCTTTCTGCTGGTTCCATATTGTCTTGATGACTGTAACTTTGTAGTATAACCTGAAGTCAGGCAGCTTGGTTCCTCCAATTCTATGCTTCTTTCACAACATTGCTTTGGCTATCCAAAGTTTTTGGAATTTCCATGCAAATTATGTAATTATTTGTTCTCCTTCTGTGATCTCTATAGAACTTTCAGAATTTGTCCTCAGTCATGATGGAGCAAGTCAAAGGATGAAATATTTTCCCTTCTTACTGGTCCTGAATTCTATTTGTCATTAAAAGACTATTCATTTCCGACGAGCTAGCATGGCTCAAATGGAAGACAGATTTCTAGTTTGTGATATAAAATGTAGACATGAACTTTTTTTTCTGAAGACATCAATTTCTTTATAATTATACTGATACAAATACTGATGAACAATTTAGTTTTCTATGTAGATCAATACTAAGAATGATATGGATCCTTTCCGTAATCTCATCCCCAACCTTCAAAACACTGCAGTTCTATACATTGTTCATGAATGTCTGCTCTAGCCTGCAATTACACCAACATTGTCAGTATATTTCACGATTTTTGATTGAACATTTCTCCAAAGCTCTTAATTTAATATGTGATAACACTTTCCTATTTATAGAAGCTCCATACCTAAACATTAATTTTTTAAAAAAAGCTTTAGAATAATAAAATGCTTACATTCAGCTATACAACCATAACAGTACTTGATAGACTTTTGAATGGCCGTCTTACCAAGAAACCCTGTCTATTCCATAAATCAATACTCGACTTCCCTGCATTTTTTATTAAAATTATTTTTCAGAGCTAGGGTCCTTCTCAAAGAGCAAAACAAGTAGAATCTTTTCTATAGATGCATCCTATATATAGGATGTGGCCTATGTATACTATCCTGACTTACACAGGGAAACTTATACATGTATATATTGGCATATATATGGAAAAGCAAACGAACATAGAAAAAGTAAAAATAGCTTATAGTTCTAGAAGAAAGCCATGCAGAAACTAATGTTCCTCACATTATGCTAAAACCATTGTGTCAGAATGCATAAACATAAAATATTAATAATTTGACATGTGCAAAACTCCAACAAATATAATGGCATGGAAAATAACTAGGAATGAAAAACACTTATTGAAAAATCTAAAAGTCATCAGGTGAAAAGAGACACTCAATAGAAAATGATCAAGATAATTGAAAGACTTGAACAAAAACTTGGGCAACGAAGTCACAGCAATGGCAAAGAAGCACAGGGAAAGATGCTGAGCATATTGGCTATGACGGAAATGCACAAGGAAACTATCAAGAGTTCTAATTGCTCTCTATCTGTCAAAGTGGCTACACATTGTTAAAACATGACCACACAATAAGGTGGCAAGGATGCAGAGAAACTGGTTATTCATACATTTCTTGTGAGAGTATAAATGGTACAGATCTCCTGAAAAACAATTTGACACTTTATTATACAACATGCTATAAACATTCAAGTATGATTTGACCCAGAAATTCTATTCCTGCATATTTATTTTAGAGAAAGGAACATAAAAGCTTTTACATGAATTTTCATTGAAACTTTGCTTGTAATAGCTAAATATGTAGAGAGGCTAGAGGTCCTTCAATGAGTGAATGGTTCAACTGTGGTTTAACCATAGTTACATAACCATACCACCATACCTGTAACACAGTTAACCATACCAGTAATATTTCTCATCAAAAAATGGGAGAAAATATTAATACACGTAACAACGTGGATGAATCTCAAGTGCATGCCAAAGTAAAACAGAGGCCAATATTAAAACGACATATACTTTATGATTCCACGTATATATTATTCTCAAAATGACAAAATTGGAGACATGGAAAAGAAATCAGTAGTCATAAGGGATTATGGACAAAGAATATAACACTGTGGTATTAGGGAATTCCTTTAAGTTTACAGAATAGTTCTCTCTCTTCAGCTGGTTATGCAAATACAAATATATTTCACATACACACAAACACCCACAAATACACATCAATATTCATACAAAATATATTATAACCATAATACATAAGAGCTCTGAAACTCACTAATAAGAGAACAGGTAATACAATTAAATGTGGGAAAATATTAGAATAGCAATTGCTTGACATAAGATAGGACATACGTTGTACAGGTGACTCATAAACACCTAAAAGTAACTAAAATAATTAGTAATTAGTACTGAATGCATATTAAGTATGCAAATTGTATCTTGGATAAAAGCAATAAAATAACTGAGAACATAAACAACTCTCAGGAAAAGAGAGAAACTGAAACTCTCCTCAATGACTCATCAGAATGAAAAATGATAAAGACATTTTGGGAAATGTTTTTCATTGCTCATAAATATCTGCACACTGGAAAACTGTGTAATCCCATTCCGAAAATAACTCCCGCGTAAAACATGAATTTCTCTTCACATAAAAGGCTTCATGCCAATGTTTACTGTGACTCTATTAATAATAGCCCCAAACTGGCAAGAACTCAGATGTTATTAAAATGGTAAACCAATATACAAATGGTGAATTCATCCGAGAGAATACTATTCAACAAGAAAATGGAACATGTTATTGATGATTGTAAGACCTTGAAAGTTTTTCAACTTAACTTAAAGAACCAATTAGAAAGAATACTTCCAGTATGAGTTAATAGGCACATGGAAAAATGCTGAACATCACGA